AGCTACCTCCCAGCCCACATGCGCACGCACGCTCTTCTCTGGAGCGGGGATCCCGGGACATCCCTCTGTAGTTTTACGAAACTAGCATCATCTAAGAGCTGCAGAGGACACAGCCAGAGCTACCTCCCAGCCCACATGCGCACACTCGCTCTTCTCTGGGGCGGGGATCCCCGCTAGCTCTTTTTTTTGCAGGTCTTCTTTGCTGTGGCCATTCATTTGCGGGGGTTGTCCTTGACGTTAACAGGAGTCCTATAGTCAGCTTCTGTGGGGTGAATTACAAAATATGCGGAGAAGTGAATTGTCCTGTAATAACATCCTGGTTCGACTATTTCTCAGCAAGTGGATTTACTATAAAATGTACCGATTATTTGTATTTCTTCTGTGGACTTCTCTTAGGTATCGGCAAACATCACATATTAGGCTGAAAGCTAAAGAATTTGTATTTTCCCTTTCTACTTTGGTTAATAACCATTCCTTTCTTCTTCCTAACCAGTTATGGGAGGTTCCTCACTTCATATCTGATAAAAACTGGGCCTCTCTTAAAAGTACACACCCACACACCCACGTACACAGTACATTCTGAGCACAGCTGCAGTCTCAACCCAGGACATCCCTCTGTAGTTTTACAAAACTAGCATCATCGTAACAGCATCCTTCTCCACTCTCTGACTTCTAAAAGACCGCCATTGATATTGTTTCCTCTCTCACAGTTACTGCTTGTCACCTCCGATACAGCCTGGAGAGTGGCTCCCATATTTCTTGACTTGGGGATAAAAAATGCAGAGGAGAGAGAGAGAAGGTTCTAATAATAATGTATTTGGCCAGTTAAATAAAGTCCAATATTACTATATTGTTTCCATCAATATCAGACTAAGGAGAGTGCTTTAAATTGAAGAATTTTAGCTTGATGGCCAACTCTACATGTCCTGTTTTTGTTGTTGTTGTTTTGTGGTTTTTTTTGCTTTTAAAGAATTGCATTTTTCATTGAGGACAATGGAAAATGTAATTCTGGAATTAGACTTGTTTCTCAAAGGCGCCTATTGAAGAATTTTAGCTTGATGGCCAACTCTACGTGTCCTGTTTTGTTTTTGTTTTGTTTTTGCTTTTAAAGAGTTGCATTTTTCATTGAGGACAATAGAAAATGTAATTCTGGAATTGGGACTTGTTTCTCAAAGGCACTTGGGACCTTTCAGTCTGCAGGCCGACGCTCTATCCACTGAGCCAAACCGGTTTTGGCGAGTCCCCGCTCATTTTTAGTCTATGTTATAAAATCATGTTGAGTCTCAGTCTGGAAAGGATCTGATTAGATGAATATTTGCAATACGTCTGATCTTAATGAAAAAATACCTTGATACCTCAAAAATACTTATTTTGGATTTTTATTTTTTCATTTTACTGACAGCGTTTAAAAATATTTTTGTTCTTTTGTATTATGAAAGAGTTTACACATCTACAAAGGGACAAAAAATACGATTTTTAAAAATCCATGTAATAATGGCAAAATGTCCGCTTTTCATATTTCCCTCATAATGTTTCCATAGAAATAAGCCTTGCTCTCCTAACAGTGCTTTGTAAAACTTTTTGTAAAAGTACATTATGTTCCAAACATTTTGAAAATAAGAAAAGAATAAAAAAGGGAACCGTAATTGTTCTTAGTGTCAACCACCCAGAAATAATATTTATGTTTTGCTGCAAATCTTACCGTCCTGTCTCCTTTCCCCTTGTCTCCCTCTCTTGTCTGTCTTGTATCTAGGAAATAATAACCATTCTTACTTTTCACCTTTTTATGTAGACAATCAAATTCTCCACCCCCCATCAGACGCCAGCCCACCTGGAGCCGATCCTCTCTGGTACGTATAAAATATTCAGCAATCAAAAGTAGCTTGTGTGCTGGGGATGGAGTGTCCTTTTGTTGCTAATTTGAGAGGAGAGGTGATTGGTGCATTATGACCAGGTGAGATCAGGTGAGAATGCAGAAGGGAATAAGTCTTCCAAGTAGGTGTGATGCATATCCGTTTTGCCCCATTGTGCCTAATTTGAGAGGAGAGGTGATTGGTGCATTATGGCAGGTGAGAATGCAGAAGGGTATAAATCTTCCAAGTAGGTGTGACGCATATCCGTTTTGCCCCATTGTGGCCATCATGTCCATCACGTCTCTAAGTGTGGCTGAAGGTTCAGCCCATGAGTAAGTCTTATTCTGGGGGGACGAGACCATGTTCCTTCAGCATGTAACCTGCTGTTTCAATCCACTTGTTCTCATCTGCTGTTTTATCACCGATTTTGCTTGTTAAGGTTCAGCCCATGAGTAAGTCTTATTCTGGGGGATGAGACCGTGTTCCTTCAGCATGTAACCTGTTTCAATCCACTTGTTCTCATCTGTTTTATCACCGTTTTTGCTTATTTCATGTAGGCATGTCTTTAGATATCAGCTCCATAATTTCTTCTGTATTCATTGCCATAGATAGAGCTTAATAAACTAATCAGAAAATGCTTTTCAGGTTTTTTACTAATTTTTTTTAAGAGAGAGAGGAAAGAAGAGAGACAGAGACAGAGAGAGAGAAATGTTGATGTGAAAGAGCTAATATGCTTGGTTGCCACCCACACAAGCCCCACTAGGGGCAGGGAGCGAACCCGTGACCCAGGTATGTGCCCTTGAATGGGAATCAAACCCACGACCCTCCATTTTTAAGCGTCTTTGGGAAAAGATTCTTCACTGGAGGGATAGATGGTAGATGGGATTCTCTACATTTGGTTCTGCAATGGGAGGGCCAATATGTGGTCCCAAGAACTACATGCTCGTTGTTGTGGATCACGGTTCGGATTTTTACATCAGTTTGCAATTGGGCCCAGCCCAGTACTACCCTGTCCCTCTTCGGGGTTGCTGTGGCGCTGCGAACTGGGTCATAGGTGCAGCTGTGATGATGTGTAGGAGTTCACGGCTCTAGGAGGGAGCCAGTTTTGAACAGAATGAAACAGGGTGCACCCTTATTCTCATTACTTCTTACGTGGACCATAGTAATACATGTGTTCTGTGTTATTCCTTAAAGAAAGGCATCATCTACTTTACACAGTGTTCCCCCTGATATGACGGTCCAACCACTGTGCGTACACCTGAAACTAATACAAAATGATATTGAATGTAAGCTGCAATTGAGAAATAAGATTAAAAAGCAACAACAATGACTGTCATTTGTAGATCAGTATTGGTCTCGTGTACTTAGAGAAATAAAAGCAATTTGTTTCTTGGAGAGCGTGGGTTTCTTGGGTCACACTAAAACTTCTCTGGATAACCCAGCATGTCCCAGCCATTGTTAATGTATTTTACTCACATATAAACTTTTGTCCTATTAAAAAGAGGCATTGGGAGCTTTGCACGTGTGTTAGAAAATAGATTATAAATAGATATGTTCATGTTGATTATAGCCTCTTTGTCTTTCTCACCTTGAACCAGCCATCTTGTTTCTTCAGTCCTGACTTAGGGATGAGGAGGGGGTACGGAGGAGAAGAGGGGTGGGCCAGGGGTAGGCGGCAGAGCAGACACCGGGGACTGTTGTGTGCTCGGCTGGCTCTCCGTGGCAGCGGAGGGCCCTTTGTGAGAGGCCCACCCACCCGTGCTGTTCTCTGTTTCAGCCCCGGCAGCAGCCGTACATCTTGCCTCCCATGCACCTCCAGTGTGGCGAACACTACTCGGAAACACACACTTCGCAAGGTAACGCTGGCTTGCCATTTTCCCTTCTTCGGGTGAACGGTTGAGAACGGGGAAGCAGTAAAGAAGACTTTTTAAAAAGAGGATAGTGATGCTTTCAATTTTAATATTGTCATTGTCTGAATGGCAGCAAGCAGCAGCTTCGATTTGTGAAAAGCATAGACTAGCGTTTACCCCTGAGAGAGGAATTGCCCCAGAATCGGCTGCAAAAGGGAGCTGGAGAAGGCAGCGAGCAGAGTTCTCTTCTCCTCCGTAGAGAAGAGGAAGTGGCAGCAAAGCCCACGGGGGTACCCCTGACCCTCACTGCCAGTATCACAAAGCCCGTCACCGTCGGTCAGGTTTTCATGTGGACAGAGAATACAGGCATCCAGAATAATTGAAAGAAATATACAAATAATCTCAATCTTTCACATTAGCTGTTGCTTCCCGTCTCTCCTGCCAGCCCCTCTCTCCCAGCACTTATAAAGGAAATCTGTTATATTCCTCTCTTTTAACTCATGCAAAATATGGGGGGGGGGAGGAAACCATTCCAATAATTATTATAATAATAATAATTAACATTTATAGAGGAAGTCCTCTCCTGTGGCACTGTTCTCAGTACCTTCAATAATCCTCAGAATAAACCTAGGAGATGAGATAGGGATTACTATTATTTCCAGTTTACAAATAGAGGATTGGGAGGCAGGAGGGCATTGGAGGGGGCTTGGATACGAAAATCAGTGTCTTGACCCTCAAGCCGGTGCTCTTGATCGTGACACCACCTGCATCTCAAAGAAGGAATGGCATTAGATGTTGAATATTGACAGTGTGAAATGGAAAATGCCTTTCTACATTATCCTATGCTGGCTATTTTTAATGTCTCTGCACTGTCAGTGTGCGCATGAAAACTAAGATAATTAAGAGACTATCTAATGTAATAAAACATTACTGTGTATAAGCAGACTAGCACCGTAACCCTGCTCCCCTGGGCAGGCACCAGACCCCCACCTACCAGTAGAGGCAGAGAAACGCAGCCTTTGTCTCTCTGGTCCACCTGGTTTATCTTGACTGTTTCATCCCACCTGGTCTGTGACCACACCCGTCCTCCTCGGCGGCTGAGCATTTACAGCCGCCTTTTCTGCCTTTGTTTCTCTGCTTGGCTCATGCTTACATCCGTGGGGTGAATCATGCATGTCGTTTGCTCACAGAAAAGTGGCAAGAAGCTGCCCCCCTAGGGTGTGTGTGTGTGTAAGGAACATTGGATGCCTGAAATGGTTCTTACTTTCTGTGTTCTAGCTCGTTAGGTGGCTCCTTAAGCCATGATTAGGTTTTATGTGGCCTGGGCTCGGTGATGAGATCAGGTCTAGGGGAGAGGGTTCGGCAGTAGCTGGGAGAACTCTTGGTTCCAATTTTGCCCTCAATTGATTGCTGGTCAGGTGGTGGCCTTGCCTGCTGACCTCCAGGCTACATTACCTGTCTTGTGTCTTTATGTTGGCTTAGCAGTCCCTCTAGTTGGTAAAGGGACCTTTCTCATTGTAGATCAGTTCCACAAACACAGTAACTTCAGATCTATTGCCCTGTTAAACGGTTAACGGCCACGGCATTTTGAATTTAATGGAAAAAGGTCCGCCGTTTGAGTCTATAGATGCTTTCGGCGTACAAACCGGTTCAAGTTCTTGGCTTCTTGGCCCAGATAGCCATCCTGAAGCGGGCCCCTGAACAAGAGAACTGGTCAACCCAAACGGAGGCCACACTTCCTGCCTGATTTCAACGCTCACGGCAAAATAGAGAACTTACCAAGGGACCATCTATTCAAACGTTCATTGCTTTCTTTGTTTAGATTCGCTTTTCCTTCTCAGGATGCTTTAGAATGTCCCTTCTGTATATTGGCATCTCATCCAAGCAGTGTCCAGGTTTGAGGGAATGTGGGTGGAGCCCATGGGTGTGCCCTTGCTAGGACTTCTTTAGGTCAAACATCACATAACCTAAGCTGTGACTTAGGTGAGGGTAGACTTGACCGACGCAGGATGGCGTGGTGGTTCACGGGCCTTTGTTTGACCTCTTGCAGACAGCATTTTCCATGGGAACGAAGATGCCTTCTACGGCAACTCCCACAACAGCCTGGACTTAAATTATTTAAACGGCACCATCACCAATGGCAGCGTGTGCAGCGTCCACAGCATCAACTCCCTGAACTGCTCCCAGAGCTTCATCCAGGCGTCGCCCGTCTCCTCCAACCTCAGCATCCCCGGGAGTGACATCATGCGGGCCGACTACATCCCTAGCCACCGGCACAGCGCCATCATCGTGCCGTCGTACCGGCCGACCCCCGATTACGACACGGTCATGCGCCAGATGAAGAGGGGGGTCGTGCACACGGACAGCCAGAGCCAGTCCCTGCGGAACCTCAACATCCTCAACACGCATGCCTACAACCAGCCAGAGGACCTGGTGTACAGCCAGCCCGAGATGCGGGAGAGGCACCCCTACACGGTCCCTTATGGGCCACAGGGGGGCTACGGCAGCAAACTGGTGGGTCCGTCCGACCAGATAAACCCAAAGAATAACTCGGTGCCCAGCAAGCCGGGGGCCAGCGCCATCTCCCACACGGTGAGCACCCCGGAGCTGGCCAACATGCAGCTGCAGGGCACGCACGGCTACCACACGGCCCACATGCTCAAAAACCATCTCTTCAGGCCGCCGCCCCCCTCCCCGCGGCCCCGGCCCGCCACCAGCACCCCGGACCTGGCCAGCCACCGCCACAAGTATGTCAGCGGCAGCAGCCCCGACCTGGTGACCCGCAAAGTGCAGCTGTCGGTGAAGACCTTCCAGGAGGACAGCGCCCCGGTGGTGCACCAGTCCCTGCAGGAGGTGAGCGAGCCGCTCACGGCCACCAAGCACCACGGCACGGTGAACAAGCGCCACAGCCTGGAGGTGATGAGCAGCATGGTGCGGGGCATGGAGGCCATGACGCTCAAGTCCCTCAATATCCCCATGGCCCGCCGCAACACGCTCCGGGAGCAGGGGCCCCCCAAGGAGGTGCCCGGGGGCCACGAGGTCCCCCAGCTGCCCCAGTATCACCACAAGAAGACCTTCTCGGACGCCACGATGCTGATCCACAGCAGTGAGAGCGAGGAGGAGGAGGAGCCCGCCGCCCCGGCGCCCCGGATCCCCGGGCTGCGCGACAACATGGAGTACAGCGCCCAGCTGCAGGCGGCCTTAGCGCGGATCCCCAAGAAGCCCCCGCCCGAGTACCCCGGCCCCAGGAAGAGTGTCAGCAACGGGGCGCTGAGGCAAGACCAGGTCAGCGTGCCCCCGGCCATCGCCAGAGCCCGGGTGCTGAGGCACGGGCCGGCCAAGGCCGTCAGCGTCTCCCGAGCCGACCAGCTGGCCGTCAACGGGTCCTCCCTCGGGCCGTCCATCTCGGAGCCCGACCTGACGAGCGTGAAGGAGCGGGTCAAGAAGGAGCCCGTGAAGGAGAGGCCGGTGTCCGAAATGTTTTCCCTGGAGGACAGCATTATAGAAAGAGAGATGATGATCCGGGTAAGTGTCCTCCCCTCGCGGGCCTTGTGGGGGGACAGTTCACGCGCCGGTCTCCCCCGCAGCCGCCTCTGCTCCTTGTCCCTGAGAAAGTTCACAGCGGAAGCACCTGTCGCAGACACTGAAGAAGGTGGGAGGTGCGTTCAGGGACAGGTGAGGGATGTCGAGGGCCACTTGGCATTTAAATAGGTGGCATTTTGTTTCACAAAACTTTGTGCTTGCCCCTTCAAATACATCTTCCATCCTCCTGCACGGATGCCGATGGGCACGCTTGGTACAAAGTGCAGTCATGCAGTTAGGATGTTCCAGGCCGGTGGTGTTCAGGTTGAGGTCGTGGCCAGTATTTTGCTGTTTATTCAGGATCCGACTTACTGTGTGAGCTGCCAGGAGCTCACCTTCCTGCACCTGTCGGTGTTTTGTTTGTGTGTTATTTTTTCCCAGGGGAAAGCTCCCCCCCCCAGCCCCCCAGTTAGATATTAAAAGAACAACATCTCCTGAGAGTTTTTTGTATCTATGAATCTGTATGTCAGGATGGCTCGCCAATATTGACTGGCCTGTGTGCAGTGTGT